CTCGCCGGGTTTCCCCTACGTCACCTAGGACCTAGCGCGGGTGGGTTGGAGGGGGCTGCTGCAAGGAAGGGCGGAAATAAAAAGAAAATATCTCCCCCGCTGGTCTCCTCCTTCCCATTTTTTCTTTTCTTTTGAGAGCAGGACGCCGGGTTTGTCTTGTATGTGCGTGTCGAGGCACGAGGGTGTGTCAGTGAGGGGTGGCAGCGTGGCAGGGGGTGGGGATGTGCGGGGCAGAGGCCCTATGATGTAACTTATTCCGGGGCCGGTGTGCGAGTCGTCACACTCTCCTGCCTCGAAAGGGCGGGGCTGTCCCGGAAAGTGAGAAACGCCGGGCAGCGTGACGCACAACTGAACCCTCCCATACGTGTTGGGCTCCTCCTTCGCTGTCCCATCCCCTCATCCATCCCTTTCCCGCCTGAGCGGGGCAGCGGGCGGGCGCGCGGTGCGGCGCGGCGTGTGCGTGTGTGCGACTGCAACAGAGGACCGCTTGCAAGGGACCATTGGGCTTGTACTATTAACAACGAAGGCGCTCTCAGAAAATATCAAAAAAAGCTAGTATGGCGTGATAGGGCTCTCCTCATAGCATGACGTGTGAACGGCGTCTCTTCACACCTCGAGCCGTCAACGCCGTCAAGTCCTTCTACCTGCCGCACCCGCGCGCGAGCTGGCGATCTGATACCGACGCGATGGCTTCAGCCCTCATCAGCGCGGATTTATCCGCGAAGAGCCAAACACTGCCGCCGCCGCCGCCGCCGCCGCCGTCGTGCAGTGAACTCGCCGGCCGCAGTGAACTCACCGAGGGCGCCTGCAAAGACGTCCGCTATCCGGAAAACAACTGCAGCAGCTTCTACTACCATAATGGGCCTCATATCGACCCCGACAAAGACAAGTGGCGGCTATGTGTGGCGCCGTCGGGTCTGGAGAAGGGCGTGTGCGAGGGCATTCTTCTCACGGGCTGCTGGCCACCGCCGCCGCCGCCGCCGAAAGCTTGCCAGCTCGCCATCCCAGCGCGCGCCCAGACCCTAGATCCGGGTGGACGGCGGGAACACTGGCGCTTGCTAGCGGAGCAGCACGGCCTCCGCTCGCTGGTCGTCGAGCGGGCCGTTGGACCGGCGGAGCTGTGGCAGTACGTGCCAGCCGGTGTCCTGCACTCGCTCAATGCCACCCTCGTGCCCAAAGCGCTCAAGCAGGCGCACAAAATGCTCGGCATCTGGGCCACCAATTTACGGTTCCTCGCTTCGGTCGCTGCCAGCAACGCAACGGCGATCTTCATCGAAGATGATGCCTCTCTCCAGCCGAGCTTCTGCGCTGGCACCACGGCCGCGCTGCGCCATCTACGGTCGTCCAGTCCTTCGTGGACACTGCTCTTTCTGGGACACTGCGGCGGCACTCGCGTCCGAAATTGCACGCGCATCCCTTCCCCCCAGCGAGGTGAAGAGGGCAGGGCACGGTGCCTCTGCCGGGGCGGCGCGTGATGTCGGGCCCAACGGTGGCGCAGCCGGCCCCGCGCACAGCGGAGAGGCCGACGCGCACCACGTGTAGGTTCTCCAATGTGCACGCACGCCTACATTGCGAGCGCGTTCGGCGCGTCGCGGCTGCACGGCCTGCTCGCGGAATGGCCTCGCAGCTACGCTGAGGCGATTCTCCGCACCGCGCGGCCGGGCTGGGAGACTGCTGGCGTCGCGCCGAAGAGGCGACACTTCCACGACACTCCCACCACGACACCTCTAACTTCCGCGGCTACACTTCCATGACAGACCGTCCTCGTGGGCAGGTGCGCGTCTCGCAGCGCGCGGGCACTCTGACGGGGCTCTGCTCTAGACGGGTGGGGCTTGCACGGCGGGCGGAGAACACGGGCACTAGACCAGGGAGGATTGGGAGAGTGTGAATGGAGGGACACGTGTGGTTCAGACGGGGCTCTGCCTCGCTGCTTCCTCGCCCGCGCAGAGCAGAGAAGCCCCACACCCGCCACCCACCGACCTGTGTGCTCTCATCACCCTGAGAGCCGCGCATCATCCTAGGCGGCACTCGAAGCGGCCTGTTGACATCGCGCACGACGTGCGCGTCGCGCAGCTCATAGGCGCGGGAAAGGTCGAGTGGCCAGCACTGCCCCACCACTGCGTGTGTGTGTGGAGAAGTTTTACCTTACCTCACCTTATTCCTTAGGTCGACGCCCACGTGGTGTGGCCGCAGGTGGCGCTGCAGCCGTGGATGATCGCGCCGAAGAGCAGGATCCAGCGCGGCATTTCAGACATGAGGTTGCCGAGCGCGTGCAGCTAAAAAAAGATTTTTTGCCGCGAGAGCGTCTTCGGCGCACGGCCTCTTTTTACTTTTAAATTTTCTGGGTTCTGGCCCGTCCCAGCTCCCGCCCCTGTCCCGTCTCTCGGGTAGTCCAAATTGTAAAGTCGACGAAACAGAGCATAGAGCAGCGAGCCGGAGCGGAGACGGTAGGCAGAGAGCGAAGTGGGTGAGACCGATGATGCTCCTTCGACTTAGGTGAGGCGGAGCAGACGCGCAGGGCGAGACGAGGGAGGGAGCAGGACTTTGCGGATCAGCAGGAGGATGTACGAAGAGATTAGGAGCAGCAGGGACCCGAGGGACCATGTGGAAGACGGCTAGTGCTAGTCCCCCATCGGGAGGACGACCCCGGCTAGTCAGGGGCTGCACAACAAAAACACACAAACACCCCTTGTCCCTGCATGGCGTGGCACAGGCGCGTCCTCATCCCCTCCTCCGCTTCCCCATCCACCCGCTCCGAGATCCGTTCTAGGATGGCGCTAATCTCCTCCTCAGCCACGTTCGTAGCCGCAGGTCCGTCTTCCGGCTTCACGTGGAACAGTGTGCGGAACTTACCGCCGCACGCGCGCGAGAGTTTTTCTTTTCTCGCGATGTCTGCCCCGCGCCGCCGCTCGCGCCGCCTCGCCTCGTCCTCCGCTGCGCCCTCGCCAAGCGCACCGCCGCCCGCCCGCCTCCTCGACCTCCCCACGGAGCTCCTCGTGCGCGCCCTCTCTCGCTGCGACCCCGCCGACATCGCTCGCGTCACGGCCGTCTCGCTGCTCTTCCACGCCTCGCTTGCGGTGGAGGGCATCCGCTTGTGGGCGCGAGAGCGCGGCTTCGAGCTGCCGGCGCTGCCAGAGGGCGAGGGTTGTGCCGTGCGGTGGCTGTGCTTCGCTGCGCTGCTGCGCGAGTCCAACCCGCCGGCGAGGGCGGCGGCAGGCCAACGGCACAGCGTCTTCATCGACGGCGAGGGGCGGCTCTCGTCGTGCGGTAGCGAGACGGCTGAGGGCTGGATGCCGGGACTGCTCGGGCACGGCGAGGGCGTGACGCGGCTCAACACACCGACACGCCTCCCTTCCCCGCTGGGCGGCGAGCGCGCCGTGAGCGTCTCGGCAGGATGGGCGCATAGCCTCGCTCTCTCCGCCGGCGGCGCCGTCTGGAGCTGGGGCTTGGGGGGTAAAGGCCGGTTGGGCCACGGCGACGAGCAGGACCAGTGGCAGCCGAAGACGATCGAGGCCTTTGCCGGCCAGCGAGTCGTCGCTGTCTCGGCTGGTAACATCCACAGCCTCGCCCTCACCGCCAACGGCGCCCTCTGGAGCTGGGGCGGTGGAGCCCACGGCCGGCTGGGCCACGGCGACGAGCAGCAGAACCAGCTGCTGCCGAAGAAGATCGAGGCCTTTGCTGACCAGCGCGTCGTCGCTGTGTCGGCTAGCCTCGGGCACAGCCTCGCCATCACCGCCGACGGAGCTGTCTGGAGCTGGGGCGATGGAGGCCGTGGCAAGCTGGGCCACGGCGACGGGCAGACCCAGCTGCTGCCCAAGAGAATCGAGGCGTTGGTAGGGCGGCGCGTCGTCGCTGTGTCGGCTGGATACGTCCATAGCCTCGCCCTCACCGCCGACGGAGCCGTCTGGAGCTGGGGTTATGGAGGCTATGGCCGGTTGGGCCACGGCGACCAGCAGGACCAGCTGCTGCCCAAGAAGGTCGAGGCGTTGGCGGGGCAGCGCGCCATCGGTGTGTCGGCTGGAGCGTACCACGGCATCGCCCTCATCGCCGACGGCGCCCTCTGGAGCTGGGGCGATGGGGATGGGGGCAAACTGGGCCACGGCGACGATCAGCTTCAGCTGCTGCCCAAGAAGGTCGAGGCCTTCGCTGGCCAGCGCGTCGTCGCTGTGTCGGCTGGACTAGTCCACAGCCTCGCCACCACCGCCGACGGCGCCGTCTTCACGTGGGGCAAGGGTGAAGACGCCTGCCTAGGCCACGGAGAGGACCTGTCGAACCAGCTGCTGCCCAAGAAGGTCGAGGCGTGGGCGCAGCGGTAGTTAGCTAGCGAGGGAGGGTGGGTGCAGCAGTGGTGAGTACTCCCACTCGTGCGGCCTGGGCAGTCGACGTGGCGCGGCAGGGTGCGTTTGAGACTGGATGGGGACAGTCTGAACGGTGGGGTGTGAGTTGTGACTTGTGTGTGCACAGAGTGCAAGTCGCCACCTGTCTGTGTCTCGCTTTGCGGTGACGCCGGTGTGAGCGGTACGTCCGCGACTGCGAGCTCTGAGCGAGATCGTCGCTCCACCACGACGCGCGAGGCGCGAGGCTGTCTCTGTGTTCGTGGCTCTAGTTGGGGGCTCGAGGCGCTGTTTAGAAAACCGAAGATAGAGGTGCTTTTTGATACGTATTTTACTAAATACAACAGAATCTGTTCAACAGTGCGGGTCACAGCGGACACCCACGAGCGCATATACGATCTCAAGTGCGCCTGCTCACAGACAAGCTCTCGCAGTGGCAGTGCAGATACATCTGCGCTGCGCTCCGCGGCCGGGTTCACGTAGTAGTATATTTCGCCCGCGCCAGCGCCGCCGCTCAGTCCTGACACCTGAGTCCACCTCCACGCTCCTCGATGTTCGGGCCGCCGCCGCCGCCGCCGCCGCCGCCGGGCATGCGGGGCCTTGGCTAATAATTAGCTTAATAGCAGCGTTATTAGGTATGTGTTGATAATTAGGTACGTTATTAGGCTAATAGTCTGACAGTGTGGCGGCGCGCAGGTACTTGGCGACCGAGAAGCCCCACGGGATACACATCTCGTACGGCGGCTGGACCATGCGCATGCACGGGTTGCGCGGGTCTCTCTCGCGCGCGCTGTACGGCCCGTACGTCTCGAGGATCCGCATCAGCCCCGTCGCGTTCAGCCGCGCGAGCGCCTTCCCGGGCGGCATCTGGATGTCGTCGACCACCACGCGCGCGCGCGGCGAGGCCGCGTTGCTCATGAGCACCATGTCGGACCTGCAGCCGGCGGTGTGGTCGCCGTCGATGAGGATCAGGTCGCACGCGTGGCCCGCGTGGCCGCGGCCGCCCGCGGCGCCGGCGCTGGCGGCCGCGCTGGGCGCCTTGTCGGCCGCGCCGGGCGCCTTGGCGCCGCCCATGCCGTTCGCGTGGAGCCAGCGCGGCACGGTCGCGCGCGAGTTGCCCGGGTGCAGCTTGAAGCGGCGGCCGTACTGCGCGTGCAGCAGCCCCGCGACCGGCCAGCTGTAGTTGAACGCCATCATGTCGAACACCGTCGCGCTCACGTTCGGCGAAGACTGCAGCACCGCCGCCACCGAGTGGCCGCCGTTCATGCCGATCTCGCAGTAGCGGCGCGCGCCGGTCTCGCGCACGAGCTGCACCATGCGCTTGAGCTGCATCTCGCGCAGGTAGCCCGTCTGGTACTTGTACTTCGCGTCGTGGTCGTACATCTCCGCGTCGAGGATGTTCCACCACGTGTAGATCGCGGCCATCGTCTCGGCCTCGGTGCGCGGCGCGAAGCGCGGCAGGCCGAGCCGCACCTGCTCGAGCCGCGGCACGAAGTCCTCGGCCAGCCGCAGCGGGCGCGCGCGCGCGCCGCGTCGCCGCGCTCGTGTGACACGGTCGGACATATACACACACACATTCGCCCCGAATAGACGCCGTACACCGGCGCTCGCATTTCTTCTCTGCACTACAGCCCTTGAGAAAAAGCTCGCGTTATGCAAACCTTTGCCTGTGTCCTAGGAAGTAGACTGGGAGGGGTACTCCCATATGCAGGTTACACATATATGCGAAGGATGCGTGGCCGAGCCGCTGGCTGGCGCTGCTTGGTCAAAGAACCGGCCCGCCGCATTTCAACACGACCACAACAATTAATTGAAAGAACAACATCATGCGCGCGGCCGTGCACTTCTTCATTCTACTCTAAGTTTAATATTCGTATTCTTGTGCTGTTTGTTGGGTCATCTGGACTCCGCTTTCCGGGGGAACCCCCCCCCCCCCTGCCCCCCCCCCCCTTCCGCACAGTCACCAGCTACAGTTAAGCACCGCAACAAGTTGTTATGTGCCTGTGTTCTGGCCTCCTGCTTCAAGAGGAGCGAGGCCGCTCTCGCGCTGAGTCGAGCGCTGAGGACCTCTCGTGAGGACCTCTCGCCTTGTGGCCTCGTGAGGACCTCGTGAAGACCTCGTGAGGACCTCGTGGGGACCTCTCACAGGCACAGCTTTGCGCAACTCGCGTTACGCTCTAGGTTGCAACACTCGCGACCCTCTGCCGACAGACGGACGCGTCAAACTATTCGTTCACATTCACAGCTGTACACTTATTAATTCGGCCGTCCGCGAGCCCCTAGCTCGCCGAATGCGAGAGAGATGCCACGAGGGGTCGCGGTGGCGTCCATCGCGAGGCTCCCTATAGCTCAACCGACGACCCTCGTGCCTCGGGATCGACGGCCGATCGTCATTGCCGCGCTGGATACTGAGGACCTCTCGTAGGTAGGACCTCTCGCCTTTGTGAGGACCTCTCGTGAGGACCTCTTGTGAGGACCTCTCACAGCACTCGAGATCGTCGTGTCTTGCGCAGACCAGTTCGCGCTGCGCTAGGTTGCAATGATGGGCCTCTCGGTCACTGCGGACTGGATTTGTGAGCCTGGATGTGGAGCAAGCGCCATCGTAGGAGCTCTAGTTGAAATCGATCGAAGGGTCATTCTTCAGAGAAACAAAGGTGCGACTGTTGTGTATATTATCAACCTTGAAGTGCTGCGTCGTCGACAGCACGAGAATTTGATATTTGTTCGCCGAGGACTTTTTTTAGTTTTTTTGTGCGCGCGCTCTCTTTGCAACACTCGCGACAGCAGACTACTACTGGACACCAGACGCTCTGGGCAGTGAAGGTGCCAGAGGCCCGGGGAGTGCACCTAGACCCCCTGAACCCAGTTGTGGAAGGACGCGGGGGCTTGAACTTGAGGTGAATGAGGCGCCAGCTAAAAGATGTCAGCGACCCTGCCCGCGGCCGCGGCTCGCCCAAGCGCCGCACGCCCGAGGACACCGGGGCGGATAAGTTCAACTGACTTGAAGGTTCACTGACTTGAAAGTGTAGGTATAACATCGTGTCAAAGGGACCCTGTTGGACGACCTTGTGCAGATCGACTGGCTGGTTGTGCACCACAAGTGTGCAAGAGTTCACTTCTTCGTTCTACCCTACACTTCTCACTTGTTGGATCATCTCGACTCCACTCTCCGCGGATCCGCCCCCCCCTTCCGCACAGTCACCAGCTGCCGCCCCTCTACAGCTAAGCACCGCAACAAGTTGTTATGTGCCTGTGTTCCTGGCTTCCTGCTTCAAGAGGAGCGAGGCCGCTCTCGCGCTGAGTCGAGGGACCTCCAGTGAGGACCTCTCGCCTTGTGGCCTCGTGAGGACCTTGTGAGGACCTCTTGTGAGGACCTCTCACAGCACTCGAGATTGTCGTGTCTTGCGCAGTTCGCGCTGCGCTAGGTTGCAATGATGGGCCTCGGTCACTGCCGACTTGATTTGTGAGCCTGGATGTGGAGCAAGCGCTATCGTACGACCTCTAGTTGAAATCGACCGAAGGGTCATTCTTCAGAGAAACAAACTTACTCACTCACTCAGAAACAAAAAATATAGTAGTGTGCACACAGTGTGCAGGTTGATGATCTAGTTGTGGGATTTTCACTTTCTTTTTGTGCGCATTTGTTCTATCTCTCTGCAACACTCGCGGTTGGTTGAAGGAGTGGGAGAGCACTTAGTGGACAGGCATTACAGGCGGCCGCCCGAGATTACACTCGAGTATCGGCGAAGGTTCATGTTTGCACGCACGAGCGCAGCAGCGCGCCTCCTCCGCTGCGGCGGCGCCCGCGCCCGAGCTGCCGGGCGCTCCCGGTCGCTGAGCGGCGCGACGGAGGTTGCTGCGCTCGGCATCCCTGCCCAGGTGGTCGTCGCGGCGCAGGCCGCGACCGGCGCTCCGTGGTGGCTTGCGATCGGCGGCACGACAGTGGCGCTCCGCGTCGGGATGCTCCCGCTGCTGTGGTACCAGCTGGCGGAGACGCGCCGCTTCGGCGCCCTCCGGCCGCAGCTGGCGGCGATTCGCGACGAGTGCCGTGCCATCGAGCCTCCGTCTGCGCGCGCGGCGCAGACGTTGCTGCGCGGGTGGCGCTGCTGCCGCGCGGCGTCCGTCCAGCCGCTCGCGATCGTGGCCGTGCCGCTGGTGCAGATCCCACTGCTCATCTGGTCGCTGGTGGGCATACGACGGATGGTCGACGCCGGCGTCGCCCCGCTAGAAGAACAAGAAAGACCGCCGCAAACCTCTATCTTCCGGCTAGCGCGCGAGAGGACACGCTCTCCGCCGTACACCCGCTGTGTTCGGGGAGAAGGCCCGCCTTGTTGCGCGGTAGGCTCGCCCCTCACCGAGCAAATGCGCGCCGGAGGCCCGGGCACACGCCCCAGAAGCTGAAAACGGGTTCTCGTATTCCAACGACCGCTCGAGAGGACACGTACTCCGCTGCGTTCGACCGTATTCGGCTGCATTCGACCGTCTTCGGCCGTATTCGGCCGTATTCACTGTATTCGCAGCCCCTCGTACTCACGCGGTGCTCTGAATATACCTTCTCGCCACCATGTTCCGCCGCGATGTCTGTCGTGTGCGCAGGTGGACCTCAAATTAGTTCACTAATGAATTAACTGATTGAGACACATTTGATACACATTTGAGTCACAACGAGGCTGGCAGAGGGACCTCACCCGTTAAT